ATTCAACATCAGTTAGAGGGCACCTGCCTCAGCTCTCTTTTAAAATGGCAGTTGATAGGTTCCTGGGTAGTTCATCATTTAAGTGGTCAATTCGTCCCATTATTATTGGATGAATAAAGCTAAAATTGTCCCAACATTTATTTACATGTTAGTACTAATAGTTAGAGTACTTTATTGGTGATTTTTCATGGTCTGAAAAACCTACATTACACAAATCATTCCGGCTGTTGACTGGATTCATATGCTGCGTTTGAGTTGGGAAATTATTCAGACATATGGTACACTATTTCCTTTTATAGATTGTCATCATTATTTTAAGAATGTTCAGCATTTTCTTAATCACTTACTACGTTGTCAGTGACATGCTATATCTATACTAAATGAAAAAAAAAACACAATTTGTTCCAAAAGGCAGGTAGATCTAATGGCACCAAAATTGCTATGAAAAAGAAGCGCGTTAAGAAGAAATATATTTTCTAATTTTTCACTCAGCCCATAAAAATCCTACTAAAGAGTATACTTTTATACCTTTGTAGCTTAGATATAAATAAATATCAATTCAAGTGTATGACTTGATTGAAAGTGAAGTCTTGTTTGCTTCACAATAATGGTTGCCAAAATACTGTAGGAAGAAACCATGGGACAAGGTTGTTCCTCATAGAAAGAAGCATGTACTAACCTGAATCTTGAGAGTATGATTTTGCATTAAGAAATGCTTATGGGGAGTTAGACAGTACTGCATGTTCCCAATGTCTGCAGATGTGGAAGGAAAATTCACAGGAAGAGACAGGTAATCTCCAGCATCCATGGAATCAGTGGCTTCTTAGGATTAAAAAAAAGTTCAATGGGCTTTTTTATGTTAATGCTTGAAACCATTGGCTCAGTTAGCTGATTGGCAATGGAGAGTATCACCAACAGTGTGGGTTCAATTCCCACACTGGCTGAGGTCACCATGAAGGACTTTCCTTCTCAACCTTTCCTTTTGCTTAGGGCATAGTGACCTTCAGGTTAAAGCACCACCAGTTGTCTCTTTCTCTCTCTCTGATGAGAGAGCAGTTCTCTGGGACTATAGCTTTTTACCTTTACCTATGTTATTGCTACTTCTGGGAACCTTGCTGCCGGCAACATATCACTACACAATATTTTCAATATATGTCTCTTGTGGCATCATAGGCTTAGAAAATCATTTCCTTAATGTCTTCTCCAACAGAGAATCTATCTCAACTGCATTCTTGCTGTATGGGTGAACCTAGCATTGTAATGGCAGCTAATTAAGAATAGCTAATTAACAGGCAAATTGATAGAAAAAACATTTGTTGGCAGCATGTTTCTGTCAGTTTAGTCTTTGCCAAGGAGCAATAACTGGCAAGTGTCATTGGTTAAATATTGACTGTGAATCAATTTCATTGTTTCGAAGTCCATTGCTATTATGAATGGGTCCTCTCTGTTGCTCAGGGTTGATAGCATCTGTCAATTTACTCCCTTAATCTGTGCTGAGAAATTTTCTGAGGAGACACTGGAAAGAGTTTGATACATTTTACTTGCATTTTTCTGTTAAGACTCCTGATAAGTACCAAAGATTCTGTCTTGATGCTTTGTGCTCAAGAGGCTGCAGAGAAATTATGGAGTACAGGTTGCTTCGGAGTGGTGATGAATACTATAGGGACTGTATCTTGTTGTTTTGTCTGTGATTTTGGTTGTGTTCTGAAGGGCTGGGGATTGCAGGGGTATTGCTGTTTGTTCTGAGGTGGGTGGCCTCGTGTTCATTGTGGACACTGTTTGCAATGCTATGATGGTTGAGGTATGATTTGTAGACAAGCTGGAGCTGAAGGGTTGTGAGTAAGTGAAACATTGGATGGTGACAGCAAGTTGGTAGGTTTGTGGACTGGTCCACTTGTCAATTACAGGGAACTTCTGCCCACCGGCAGCTGTATGGTTGGTTCTCAAGTGGCTGAAAGTCTTGGGACTGTGCATGGGATAGTGAGAAGTCTTCAGATCTCAACCAGCTCAGGATCTTGTTCTGTTTTCTGCACTAAAAGCTACTTTAAACTTGAAGGAAATCAGTTTATTTTTCTTTCAGCAGTTGGTGTAAGATGTGACTTTTGATGAATGAGTTAAAGATCTTTTATAAGTGTAAACTAATCCCTGTAAACCAGCGAAAGCCTCCGGAGAAGGAAGACCAAGAAGAAGCATTCTGAGCAGCACAAGAATCATAAGAATCATCTCAGCAACTCTGTTCCCAGACATTCCATCTGTCATACTACCCATGGTTTTGACAATGGTGTGTGTGTGTGTGTGTGTGTGTGTGTGTGTGTTTGTGTTTAACTAGTATAGTTATATACCAATAGTTCAAAGTTGTTTACCTGTAGCTAGAGTCTATTTACTTTAATAAATGTTAGTCATTGTTAAATATACACACATGGTCTTTGCTTTCTGTTAATCTGGGACTAACAGGCTGGTAAATTAGGGAAATCTGTGTACTTTTCAAATATTTAGCTTTTGTGATGACTGCAACAATAGCAGGGCTTCATTTAAACACCAGTGAGGCATAACAATATGAACCAGCCAGGAGCATGATGTAATGATTTAACTCCTGGTCAAGAAAGATATAACAAGCCTCATTACACGATAAGCTCAGGAATAGAATCTTCTCTTTTCTTAAAGGAGGGCTTCTTCAGGGTGATAAATCTGAAGAATCTTATTAGTATACACCAGAATAATTGCACAGTATGCTATATTCTGCACAATTCAGCCATATCAAATGAATACACCATGGTGGATCTATCTAAGGAATTAAATAATGCTGTTTCTTATTCAAATGATTCTCATTATTTTCACTTTGTGTAACCACATGTGTGCTTCATAACTATTAACGTTTTTCTATTTTCACCAAGGTTGTATTATTGAATGTTTTAAAAAATAAAGATGATATACATCAATATTAATTGTAATTCTATGACTTTAACCTTTGATATCCTCGCACTTTTTCTAAATATCACCTGGTGCTTTTTGTTAATGCTCCCCATGTGTTATCATTGGTGGTATAGATGATGAAAGAAGTAAGCACATCAATGTTGTGAACTGGAGAACACTCAGCCAGGTAGGTAGCACAGGCATCTGTCAAAGTTTCTAGGGAGGTTGCACCTGTTCATTTGAAAATAATGGATAACTAACCAGCTACAGATTTCTTATAATGGTATTTTGTGCAGCACAACTGTAGCAGACTACTAAAGATAGCTATACAGTCTAAGCAAAAGTGTGGATGCTATTTTTCATAAACTTGCATTTTAATCAAGTGTTGTTTCCCAATAATGCAATGTGACTTTATGTAGAAGAAAATAAACGAACAAAATATTAATGTGATACTTTGTGTACTGCTTGAATATTGAAATGAACAGGAGTCAACAAGATCAATTTCTCTCAACATAGTTTGGGAAGAAACCAGCACAGAACATATATAGGAGGATATGGTAGAGTCCAGTAGCTTCAAACCTGGGAAAGATTTTTAACTAGAGCTGTTTGTGTAAAATATTTTTAAAGTAATTTTGTAAAGTAGAAGATATCCTGGAGTTATGAATGTAAAAAAATTTTATTAACAAAGTGTTAACATCAATATACATAATAAGCACACAACAAAGTAATCCTCCACTCAAATACTGCTAAATGTCTACAAAAGACTTAATGTTTAACTTTGGAATAATTTACATCACTCTCCCATTTCTGGTTGAAATCATAAAATTTCTATGGTTTGGAAGCAGGCCTTTCAAGTCCACACTGAGTTTGCACATTCTCCCCATGTCTGTGTGGGT